TTTACATACCAGGAACATAAACGTCACAGCAAATATAATCAAAATTTCTGTGACAGCTCTCAATTTCAATGTGGCATATACTGAATACCCAGGTTGTCAGTCAGGTTTACGCTGTCAGTTTCTGAAGTTTAACTTCGGCGTTTAAGGTTTAGACTATTCGTATGTCGAAAGTATTTCAGTGCATCTGACGACGTACTTCATGTCGAAACAGTTCTAACATAAGACGTCGCTAATCCACGGAAACCAGTGTCAAACTTGTACATATATTTATTTCTTACTCAGTATCTCATATTTTGATGTACATGAAGACAAAAGAACTGGGATGGAAAGAGAATCATGGAATTCAAAATGTTGGCATCGAAGACTCCCAGGGGAATAGAATAGTAGATCAGAGGAAAGTGCTGAAAATTTGGGAAAATTATATTTCAGAACTATATGATCGACCTAATCGGCCAGAAACCTTAGAAGTTGAACCGGAAGAAGAAGTAGATACAGACGAGAAAGGACCATATATTTTACAAAGTGAGGTGGAAAAAGCTATCAAGGAAATGAGGAAGGGAAAGGCTACAGGAGATGATGATGTACCTGGAGATGTGCTCAAGTTACTGGGAGAAGGTGGTTTGAAAACACTGACAAAACTAATGAACACCATATATGCAAGTGGAGAGTGGCCCAAGGACTTTACAGAAGTTACAATGATTGCCTTAAAGAAAAAGACAAAAGCTACAAAATGCAGCGACCATCGCACAATAAGTCTTATTGCACATACAGCAAAGATAATAGCAAAGATACTTAAAAGAAGAATTGAAAGGAAAATAGAGGATGTACTTGGAGAAGATCAGTTTGGATTTAGAAGAGGAAAAGGAACCAGGGATGCAATTGGGATGATGAGAATTATAGCGGAACGAACTTTGGAGATAGATGAAGAACTGTGTGTTTGCTTCATAGACTGGCAGAAGGCATTTGACCGGGTAAACTGGACCAAATTAATGCAGATCCTGAAAGAAACAGGTATCGATTGGCATGAAAGAAGATTGATTAGCAAATTGTACATGGATCAGAAAGTTAGAGTACGACTGGACAGGGGGGAGACAGGAAGTGTGCAGATTGGAAGAGGAGTTCGACAAGGATGCTGTTTATCACCAATTCTGTTCAACTTGTACAGCGAATGCCTTACCAAGGAAGCTCTGGATGGGCTCGGTGACTTCAAAGTAGGAGGGCAAATTATTCAAACTGTGAAATATGCAGATGACCTTGTGTTAATGGCTAAGGAAGAAACTGTGCTACAGGGCATGATTGATAGACTAATTGAAATTGGAAGGTGCTATGGCATGGAAATGAATGTGGAGAAAACAAAAGTAATGAAAATTTCGAGACAACCAACCCCAGTCACAATAAAGATAGACCAAAAACAAGTGGAGAATGTGAAATGTTTTAAATATTTGGGTAGCTTGTTAACAGATGATGGAAGGTGTACTTGTGAAATTAAATCCAGGATTGCCATGGCAAAAGCTGCATTTAGCAAGAAGAAGAATCTTTTTACCAGCAAATTGGACTTAAATTTGAGGAAGAAACTAGTGAAATGCTACATTTGGAGCATAGCTCTGTATGGGGCTGAAACATGGACACTTAGGGCAGTAGATCAGAAACATCTGGAAAGTTTCGAAATGTGGTGTTGGAGAAGAATGGAGAAGATCAGTTGGACCGATTATGTGAGAAATGAAGAAGTGTTAATTAGAGTCAGTGAGCAGAGGAATATCCTACATGAAATAAGAAAACGGAAGGCTAATTGGATTGGTCATGTTTTACGCAGAAACTGCCTTCTAAAAGAAGCTATCGAAGGAAAGATAGATGGGCGGATAGAAGTGACAAGAAGACGAGGAAGAAGACGTAAGAAGATGCTGGATGACCTTGGGGACAGAAGAGGATACTGTCATTTGAAGGAGAAAGTTCTAGATCGCATTAAGTGGAGGAATTGTTTTGAAAGAGACTGTGGACCTGTCGTCTTGACAGATTACTGATGATGATGATGATCTCATATTAATTCTAAGGTACGACATTCGATTCCAGTTTCCTATTATTTAACTACAAGCGTGTACAATTTTAGAATTTATTTATTTACTGGTTCACCTCTTCCGCTCTTTTTCGTATATTCTTCATTCTCCTACACAATTACATAATGTATCGTGTACACCCATTACTGGGTAACGACCTCGAAACAACGAAATAACATCCCTGCTAGAAAACAGATTTTTAATAAACAGGTGTACGCAACTGTTGCTGGGAAATGGGCATGTTCCCATGGAAACGACTGGAGCAGCAACAGAAGAGCCGTGCCGAGGGGATATAAGCGGGAAAAGTTTAGGAGTTAGATCAGCTGTAAGGCAGTCTGTGAAGAGAAGACTTGGTGCAGTTGAAGATTCTCCAGAGTTAGAAGACGTTACTTTGAAACGACTAGTGACAGCAGATTGAAAAGAATTAGCGTGTGCTGCAGTAATTTGTAAAGTGCGGAAATAGCGATAGTGTTATAGTTGTTTGTAGTTAAGACCTGCAGGGGGTCAATAAATCCAATCTCCAAACCAAAACCCCGTCGATAGTCACTCTAACATGTGACAATATTTTCCTGTTATCTCCCTTTGATAGAGCCACGTCTCAGGTATTTATATAGCTGTACTCATACTGACATGGGTTGTCCAGTGATTGAGGTCAGCTCTTTCAAAGAGATCCAAGAGAGTGGGTGCCTCCCCTCCCTCACCTGAGTACGGAAACACGTGCAGTTGTCAAAACGCTGTATTCTCTAGCTTTTAGAATACCTAATGACGGACAAAATCCAAAAACCCAGTAATTCTGAGTGTAATACACCATCTTCAAACCTTTATAATCTGAAAATAATGGCACATAACTTCGAAGATTCATTTTTCATACAGATACGAGATGATTTGTATATAAATAAGTATAATTAAATATTGTACCGTGCAGAGACGTTGCTATGCAGCGACAACGAGATGGGTGGATATACAAGGGCCGCTTCTCGGTAACGGCTCAGTAAACACGTTCTCGCGAAACAAACAGAACACCCGTTGTTAAAGGAGCAGATTCTTAATAATGCAACTCTTGGACTATAACAATGGGAGAGCTGTGTTTTCCAGAAGTGGTCGCATACAAGGGACTTAGTCCCACCCCACTAGCAATAAAAAAATAGTTCAGTTCTGTAAGGGAGACTATGAAGAAAAGAGTTAGTTGCTAGAGCACTATTTTGAAAGCCCGGCTCTAAAGGGAAGAATTTATATGTGATACTTGGAGTGTGTAATTCAGCGATACTGTTGTAGTTCCTGTGTTAAGGTCCGTTTCCAGGAAACAGCTAGTGGAGACTGTAATACTCGAAGGACACTAGTCTGTGTGTGCCAGTGACTTGTAAAGTGATAGTGTTATAGTTATTTGTAGTTGCGACCTGAAAGTGGTCAACAAAATCACCAATCCGAACCCCGTCTGTAGTCACAATTCAGACATGTGGCAATATAATCTCATATGGTTGTTTAACATTTATTTAATAATATCCGTATTTATCTGTAATCCGATTTCTTAACTTCATTCATAATTCCGTTGTGCTCAGTGAAAACTGCTTGGAGTGCGAAACGGGTCTATGGCCAAGTGAAACTGGGGAACACTGAAGTGCGGCGTGTCTTCGGAAAGTTGACTGATTAGACAAATTACACCATGACCAGGGCAGTGTTTAATGGTTTCTCGTTATGTCGTTTCCATGGACACCAAACGCATAACTAATCACAGATATCTCTGAGTATAATCGATAGAGGCTACATCGATTATCCTATCAGGCTGTCTTTGTACTTCTGGAAGTTCACCATGTTGAGAATTATAAATGTGTAGTGTACGGTTCTGATTTGAAACATATTTGTACTTGGCGGGAAACAGGCCGTGCAGGCCCATATGATTGTGAGACGTCGAGGCTCCGACATTTCTAGACAATCGGCTCACAGATGGCGGTGAGGTTGTCAGCCCTACGCGCCGCCCACCTTTAACCCCTATGAAGATTCCTGGTACTCATTTCTATTAGAGGCTGAGTCGACCCCAGGGGCTTAGTAAGGCTGGATGGATTAGGTCTTTTGAAAAATCCAATAACTTCATCGGGACTTAAACCCAAGACCTTCCGGCTTGTAGCATAGAACCTCAACCAACTACGCTACCGCATGTCCCATCGAAATGTTACCGTGTTACTATTAATGGTACACGTATAAGGTAATGGAAGTGTAGGGAAGTTAACTTACTTATTAATATTTTATAATTAGTGCAAGGTATTTATTTTATTCAACTGATTAACATCAAAGCAGTATTGGCAATCTCGCGCTCTTTTATCTGCCACTCTTTACTGTAATATTTAATAATTTAATTAATTTCTCCTTAACCACTGATTGTATCTGAAATTAAAGTATATTCAGTATAATATTAATTGAAGAAGATAAAGTTCAGAATTTTAAAGGTAAATTCTAAGTTTCTGAGAATTGTCATTTATTTTTGGAGAACTGGAAATTTAACATCTCAAAAATTATAACAGTTAGATATATAGAATAAGCTAGGCGTTTTGTCCTTTTTATTTCTTCAAGTTGTATTGAATGCAAAGGACCTCAGTACACTAGAATGAACGGTTCTGAAGCTAAATCCATATAACTATTCATCCTGGGTTTAAAGATTGTTTCGAAATATTTAAAGTACAAGAATTCGGGGATTTCAAGGGTCTAAAACTTACACGGGGGCATCCCCTATCATATTGTCAAATGTGTTCGACACAGATGCATTATTGCGGACATCTGCAAGGAAAAAACTTATGAGTACACACATATTATGGCGATACAGAGAACAANCCACATATACACGGTGCCAAATCCCAGAAGACTGCTTTCTTCATAGTCACCGCCGTGAAAGCCTCAAATCTTACACAACCAACTCTTTGTTAATAAGGTCCATTTTCGTAAACAACTTACCAAAAGAGCCTCGACCTCCTTGTTAGATGCCGTGGCGTGGTAAGACAGCACCTGTAACACAATTAACTTACATTCCGGGAAATATCGACATATCATATTTGCTAAAACGTAGGCTTAATTTAATTCACATGAACATGACAAATGTACGTTTAACGGAATATTTTTGCATTGTTTCTCGGTAGATCATGTGGATATTGAAACAAAAAATACATAATAAAGTACACAAATACCATAATATACGTTTCATTTATTAAGAAAAGAATTGGATGGTGGATGCTGTTCAGCAGTTTTCTGGCACACACTGGTGTTAGAAGAGGTACGGATTGGATCAGGGTAATCGAATTATTGGATCTTAGATTACATCGTGTAGTTATATCGCCACATTAGGGCGAGGCAAGAGATGATGCAACTCCCGCTGGCCACAACTGGGGCAAATACAAGAGCCAACCGAGATTTGCTGGCAAAGATGGAAGCCAAAATAGACGATAAGGGAAGCCGTTAGAAAAAATTTGATGAAAACTAAGCAAGAAGAGGAAGATGCGGTCCGAGAACACGTGCAACAAATGATGGCCAAAACAGAAACGAATGAAGCTAAGACGGACGTGAATCTAGAGAAAATTAGAGAAAAATCAAATCTGGACAAGCGGAAATGAGATCCACAGTTAATGCCTGGATAGAGGTCATGAAGGATAATCGGAAAGAGGCAAGGACGGCGGTGCGTCTGGACAGAAAGGAGCCATGTCCAGTGCAAATGACATCTGTAGCAGTGCACGAGGAGTTTCGTGCGGAAGAGTCCGCAATGAAATCTCCTGGAACAAAGAAGAAGCGGCAAAAGGCCGACATCCAGCTGCAGGGCAATGCCAACGAAACTGACCAGAGGAGACTGTTGATCCGGGAGGAAGTTCGCTGCCGCCTGCAGGAGGATGAACCCACAATACAAAAGCGGCACGGCGCAAGGGACACGACTACAAGAGATACAACGAAGACAATGTGGTACAAGAAACCCGGAAGGGACAAACGTTCAGAGGCTTGAGGACCCGGAATGCAACAATGATATAAGGGACCGAGACCTAAGACAACAGATAAGAGGCACCAAGCGAATGAAGGACCTGAGCGACAGGCGACCGCAATATCTGAGGAAGGGGAGGACAACCACGAACGGCATCGGATGGGGAAGTCAGGACAGCGATTGCACCTGGGAAGCGGAGGTACGCTCAAGAAGACACTATATGAGATTTTAAGGGGGAAGATCGCGAAGGAAGTAATCGGTTATGGAGGTTACGAAGAATGATGGACTGGATATTGTGGAGAGGTCATCCCCTCCGAAAAGGAAGAAAATCCTACTAGCAGCGATAGCGAAACAAGAGGCAGATATGTGGGAGCCCCAGCCATACTCCGTAATTTTGCCCCCAGCGGTTGGAAAAAGGAAGAAAAACTTCGAATGACGGTGATATACCCGGATCTATTAGTCAGTTTAGCATTGAGCCGCTCAGGGCGAGTGGCCTTAAGGAGGGAGCACTGGTAGCGGGTGTAAGAAAATGAGCAATGAGAAGGAAGGTGAGATGAAACCAAGCACATTGTCGTATGAACGAAAGGCGGTGCACCGATAGCATATTCAGGACTAGGAACAGCATCGTCACATTCGCGACAAAGTTCTCCCAATATCGAAATGGAATATATAACACGATTTTAGCTCTCATCTCTGCGTTACGGGTCAGAAGTGACGAGAAGTATTGCACGAAATAGCGAGGTAGTTGTTGCAGCTGCATTACTGAAGAGAGGGAGGGTTGACCCTTTCCTCTGACTAAACCATAAGCACCTTATAATCCTTACCTCAGTTAATGGACAAGAACAAATTCAGTGAACATTCTGTTCAAAATGGCCCGATCTAATGCCACTGACAATATTTATCTGTAACATTAATGTAAAATATTTTCGAAATATGAATTCATAATTCCCGGACTTCTAATCATGTATCACAACAAGTTACAATAATAATAATAATAATAATAATAATAATAATATGTATGTGTCTGACTACAGACGGATTTTGGATCCCAAATCGGATTTATCGAACACTTATACGCACAACTCGAAACTACAAATAACTCTAGCGCTATTGCTAATTCACACTCTGCAGTTCACAACAGCACGCACTAGGTCTTCTCTGCCTGCTCTAGCTTCACCGGCCGTTGCTTGGTAGCGGCTTCCAAAGACGGGTCTCCCCCTTCCTCTGGGTTCCCGAACTGTCCCCGTGCCTCAGCTACCAGCTTCTCACAAGGACTGGACCGCAGCGGTCCTCTAAACAACTTGTTCCACTCCACCAACTCAGACTGACGGCCATCTCACAGCAACAGCTCACAAGGACTGGACCGCAGCGGTCCTCTAAACAACTTGTTCCACTCCATCAACTCAGGCTGACGGCCATCTCACAGCAACAGCTCACAAGGACTGGACCGCAGCGGTCCTCTAAACAATTTGTTCCACTCCACCAACTCAGGCTGACGGCCATCTCACAGCAACAGCTCACTCCTCTTACTTCCGTCTCAAGAGTAGACTCTCCTCCAATCAAGTCAAAGTCAAAGTCACCATGCGAATCACGGTCAGTCAGTCTTGGTGTCGAGTCAATCTGGCGCCAATGACAATATATTTATTACTGTTTAACAGTTTCAGTCTTATTTTTGTGGGGCGCCCTCACTAACGAGAGGACGGGTCTGTCTTTTGTCAGTCATAGTCTGTAGTAGTAAGTCATTTGTCATAATGTAAAGGATATTTACATTTTGCGTGTTAAACATGCTAATAAATGTATATAAAATACACTATACAGAGCCTCTGTTAGTCCAGGCTTAGTACAGCAGATTATGCCCTATTTCTAGTAGCTTCTGCTACAGCGGACTCTCCTCTAATGACAGCCGGCCCTCATTATACAGCGACCATACAGAGAACACCGTAGTACAGCAGATTATGCCCTACTTCTGCTAGCTTCCACTACAGCGGACTCTCCTCTAATGACAGCTGGCCCTCATTATACAGCGACCATACAGAGAACACCGCTTCCAGCAGCTTTCCTGTTGTTGTGTGCGTATCTGTTGCAGTCATTACCTAGCAGTGGCCATTATTTACAGTGCCATTACTTAGCAACGGCTATTGTAGAACCGCTTATTTCGCGGCCGTTGCTTAGCAACGGGTCTACATATAATAATAATTCTAACAGCCAATGCCAATTACAAAGTCGCCACGAATATAAACAAAGGCAATACGACAACAAATGATAAAGCTACAAGAAACAAGACAAACAAAGAAAAACTAATCAGTTTAGGTGATTAACACTCAAACCCGAATTCCTAAAAATACCTCTAAGTTTACAAACTGAGTTTGCAGCGGAAACACGTCTAGATGAAGGGCAGTGACTGGAGGAGCAAGGGTTCATGGTGAAGTTATGAATGTTCCGAGCAGCAGCCCAAAGGCCAACTGTTTCGAGCAGAGAAGGGCAACATTTTGTGCCACTGAAAACATTTATTAATACAAAAATAATAACTGAATCAAGGATAAGTATCGAGAAGGATAACCTTAAATTCAGCCTGGAAGCTGGTGAATATGCAGGTCATAAAGGGACAATGAGCCGGTCACAGTAGCCGAGCCGTCTAAGGCATGCACTGTCTTCGATCGCTTGGAAATCGGGATCGTGGTTTCGAATCCCACTTAGGGCATGAATGTTTAGTTTGTGTGTGTGCGATTTCCTGTGTTTGTGTACAGGTAGAGGCCTTGCGACGAGCTGATCACCCGCCCAAGGAGTCATACCGAATGTGTAAGATCAAGAAAAACCAAAGTGAACGGAGAAGTTCATGGAGGTAGGCCTAGGCCCACTGGGGCTGTAGTGCCAAGGGAAAAAAATAAGGGATAATGAATTAATAAACCTATATCAATTGAAAAAGAAATCAAGCTCAGCGGGAAGAAAATTACAGCAACGAGATTTAATAAAGAACATTAACACGTGTCAAGGATCTAAATTTTGTAGACATCGTTCGACCAACGACTGATTTAAGATCAAATTAAGATAAATACATTCAGAATCTGTTATTTACTGTTCAATTCAAGGATTGCTGTATTAAAATGTATATAAAATGATTTATTCGCTTAACTGATTTTGGTAGGAAAAACCGCCTCTGTGGTCCAGTGGTCAGAGTTCCTGGTTACAGATCCGGAGGTCCGGGTTCGATTCCCAGCGCTACCAGATCATCTGGGAAGCTGAGGGTCTGGATCGGGGTTCACTCAGCCTCGTGAAGATAATTGAGGAGATATTTCAAGGAAATAGCGACTCCGGTCTAAAAAACCGAAATTAAGGGTTGTGGGGATTCGTTGCGCTGAACACGCGACTCCCTCTATCCGCTAAAGTTGGCACTAACTTCGCCGACAAGTGGTGGTCGCTCGATCGGTATAGTTCACTTGCATATTAAAATCACGGAGTTTGTTTATTGATTTTGGTAGGAAAACCTGAAGGAAGGAGACCACTAGAACAACCTAGGCATAGATAAGAAAATAATATTAAAATAGGTCTTAAAAGAATTAGGACGCGAAGGTGTACACGTCATACATCTGATGCAGCCTAGCGATTTGTGGCGGGCAATATTTGGATGAGGAAATAGAGTTCCGGGTTCCATAATATGAATATCTTGGGTAGCTGAGCAACTGTTGGCTTCTCAAGAAGAGCTCTGCTCCGTGGAGTTAATTATTTCCTTGGAATATGGAAAACGTCCGGTGGCTACAACACACCCACATTCCAATTAAATCTTATCCAATGTTTTGTAGGACAATGAAACATGAAAGACAAAACAAACGGACAATGGGTTAAAAACACGTGGATAACAGTGGTTCCGCTCCGCATACCAACATTATAACCACAGCATTATTATGAACTTGAATACTGTTCTGAATCCTATCCGTCCTTGTGTAACTGAATCATATTCTGCTAGCTTTCGATGTTTCTTCCTTCTCTTTATTTCACAAGTTTCGGTATAACTGGCCATCATCAGGTGTAAAAAAAGTAAAGCTATCCTTGTACCAGGCCGTGAAGGCCCATAGGGTTGTGAGACGTTGAGGGTCCCACATGATCTAGACAACCGGCTCAAAGATGGCGGTAAGGTTGTCAGCCTTACGCGCCTACCGCGCTTTACTCCACAGAAAAATTATCTAATTAATTCCTGGTACTCATTTCTGTTAGAGGCTGAGTAAACCCCAGGGCCTAGTTCGGCTGGAAGGATTAAGTAAACTGAAAAAGTCCAATGACCTCATCTGGACTTGAACCCGCGATCTTCCGGCAAGATGCAATTAAGGAGTCTGCTTTGCTTTCATTTTGATGTAGTAGACTCTTCTAGATGTTTCATTTAGGTTATGTTACGCCATACCTTTGTGTCTAACGGCGTGTAAGGTTTATCTGTAATAGGCACCACGTTATATCAGTGTTTTATGCGGTGGGTATTATGTGCTATTTCTTCTTTCCTGTTTTGTGTTCGTGCTGTTACTCGCGTTTTTTTGAACATGTTGCTTCCAGAGTCAGAGTTGCTTTACGACTAGCGGTTTACAGCCAGACAGTTCGTCTTGGCGACAAGCCCCTTGAGACTCACGACCAGCCTTTTTATTTTCCAAATGAACACTTGCGGTTATACTCATTATGTAATATCCTCTCTGACGAGAGGATGAGTCTGTTGTTTAAAATTGCTGCTGTTCCTCGCCAGCGCAGTCACTCTCGGGCCCGAGTCCCCACATTTTACTGCCTCAGATTCAAGATTATCCCAACCTGGAGGGCCAGGCTCCCGTATTTATATTCCCCAGGAGCAGGTTACCCCAGTTATACCCCCAGGCACTTGTTTCCCTTTTCGTCGTCTCCTACGCCTCGCAAGGTTACGGTGGAGGTATTCGAACCCGCCTCCACACGAGATTGTTGCTTTCATTATGAACAGTTTTCATGAAAATGACAGCTGACGAGAGAGAAACTACTGGTGGTAGACCCACCTACAGTCAGAATTAATGTTACGTGCAGCCAGGGCACACTGCGCCCTACCGGCGTACTGTGTTACAACAATCTCAAGCAGCATCTTAAGGATTTGATTATATGGAGAGGTAAGGAAGGTGCGTTGATGGAGACTGGAGGGCAACAAACAAACGAACTTAGATATTTTGCCAGGTTTGTGCAGTTCCGTCAAGGAAACTGGGTTCTGCATACAGTTTGGATGGGGAAACAACAGTGACAAATCATGCTGGATGGTTTCCATGCGGGAGGATCCAGACGTGACTGGAAAAATAACACGAAATGGATTTTAAAGAAAGAGTCTGTAATGAAACTGGATCAGAACCAGGTCCGCAGAACAACATTCATTGCCTGCCACCATAGAACTGCTCGGTCAGTCACTGAGATAATTGTCTCAAGACCTCATAATTAAAAAATAGAAAAATGTAGTTTACTGGTAGCATCTGAGGTTGCCACGTCAGTGACTTTAGGATCTTCTGGGTTGAGACTCCGTGTAGTCCGGAGCTTAAAACATACCCTTCTACAATTTATCTGTTGCTTTGAATGAGCGTGAAATACCTTCTGTGGCACCAGATGAGTAGGCCTAGTACAAATACATATATTGGCTGTTGTCTGAGGACAGATTCCTAGAGATGATATGATAGAGAACATTTCAAAATGAGCTTTATATTGTGGCACGTAGATCAGTTGCTGGGCAACGACCGCTATTGAATAGCAGCTTCGTAAACAAATATGTTCCAACGGCAACTACTGAACTGCAAAAATGAGGAACGGTGTTTTCTGCAAGGTACGTGCCGAAATATTACAAGCAGGACAAGTTGAGAGATGCAGTCAGTCAGTGGAATGGAGTCGATTGCTGAGTGACTTTGCCGAGAGTTGCTGTAGCTAAAGCCTGGGAGAGTTCAGGAACCCAGAGTAAGGAGAACTTCCGCCGTTTGAAGCCGCTACTGAGCAACGGCTAGGGAAGACTGAGAAGACTTTATGTGTGCTTTAGTTACAGTGATCTTTGGAGTGTGTAACTCAGTAGGACTGTAAGGGTTATTTGTAGTTACGATCTGTAAGTGTTCAGTAAATAAAATTACCAATCCAAACCCCCTCTATAGTAATTCATGCACGTGACAATATGTACTTTTCTTAATCCTCTTCAGATAGAATTAGAGTAACGTTGAACCGCATCATCCTCTTGCAGGTCACGTCTTAATCATTGTCTCACATGAAAACTTGTGTCAAATCTTATAATTCACTTCGAATTTTAAAAGAGGATATACGTTGCAACTGTATTCTTGACTCAAATGCATCAGATTTCAACAGGAATTTTCGAAGCACGAAACTTGTAATGCAAAAAAAAAATATTTTTAAAATGAAAGAAAACGTGAATTTTAAGATTTTAACACACGTTATCATGCATGAAGATGAAAATAAAGAGTAATCAAATTAAGGAAAATCAGATGGACAGACACAGTTTCAGTGCGAAAGCCTCAAAGGAAGAGACTGCTTCGTAGATATGGTTGTACATGCGAGGATATTATTAAAATGAATCTGAAACAAGTATTATGTTAGAGGGTAGAATGGATTCATCTGCCTCAGGACTGGGCTTCCAAGGAACCTTTGAGTTCCATGAGCGGGAGGAAATTTCTAGGCCACGTTAGCGACTATCAGATCAACTTGTGGCACTTACCTCGATGGCGACTTTCTGGCGAGCCATAGCTTTCTCCACTTCGCTGTACATGAGTGTGTTGTGGATACCAAGGCCACAGAAGATGCTGAAGGCCTGGAAATGAGTATCACATTATTAGAAAGTGCGGCGTACCCGGCCACAACTGATTGTGCCGACTCTCGGGGTCTGTCGCAGACCTCAGGAGCCGTAACATGAGGACTGGGAGTGCAAATGCCTATAGCAGCTCCGTTGTGTGCATTGCGCTGTCTGCACGAGGAGAGAGCGAGCACGTGCGCAGCTTCTGCTTAATTTACACTGATGTATTTTCACTATGAGAATGGAAAGCCGGCTGTTTTGTTTTGAACAAATATTAAGCGCGTTAACGACTTTAACAGATATAATGAGGGTGATATAACGGAGGATGATGGGACTGATAGGACAGGTAGCAAGCAGAGCAGAAGACAAATGCTTTTTAAAATTAAAGCTGGAAAACCTGAAAGTACAAGATCACTTCGGGAACGGAACAAAGACTTTATTGATACGATTACAGTCGTTAAAATAGTCTAGAACCGCGAAGTTTCACTATCGTGTTCACAACAGCACGCCACTGGAACCTATCCTGGACCATATGAACCTACTCAATACCAGTAACTCATACAGGGTAATTCATAAGGCTCTCTGAAAACCCCAACTATAATTTAGAATCACTATGTAGACAGTACATGGCTAAAAGGGTAAAAAGATTCTAAATTATTGTCGGGATTTCCGGAATGACTTATGAATTACCCTGTATTTTCTTAAATTCTATTCTAATGCCCCCATTTCTGCCTCGTTTCCGAGTAGTCCCTTTCCTTCAGTTTTCTCGACTTCATCCTTTTCATGCGTTCTGCATGTCCACTCCAAGTAACAAATAAAATGTCTTTGTAAATTTTAACAGCTTGTAATTCCGTGACGAATTTGGCCGTTCCAGACTTTGACCATCTCCCGAAGATGATGCTTTTTAACGCAGTCTCCGCCGCCTTCAAGAAACACTCGAATGCTGTACGAGACTCAGTTCATCTGTCCGGTGCCTGAAGTCCTCTGAACCCAAATTAGTTCGACTACAATTCAAAACACACAATGGCAACTTGAGGCAGCTCATTTTGACATAATGTGAAATGTGTAAAAATTTAAAAATAAAAAAAGTTGATAATAATTTATTTCAATTCTTATTTATTTACGCTCTAACTTAACATCCCAAAGGCCAATTACAAAGTGAAAGAGAATAAGGAAAAATAATCAAAACGCATGCAAACAAAACACAAAAACGAGGCAATATATACTGTTTGAATAACAATAATTCCAGTAACACAAATAATAATAATTTGCTTCACGGTTAATATTATTTTCTATAACTATATCACAACTAAAATAAAATGAAGTCACCTTTGAAATATTGTTAGAACCTGAAACAACGTTTTTTTCCTGCAAGATATCGAATAATATTAACTCAATAAAAGGCGCAATGCAATCGCAATGCTTCAATTAGGAGAGCTTTGATTATTTAATTCCTTCTAGGCATCGTAAAATCAGCTGATATATTTGCTGTTACATTTTGTTAATATTAAAATTTAACAGAAGATGAGGAGTGGTCACACGTTTCTAGCCACAGAGTGTTGGGTTCGATCTCAAAATCAGGTCATGTGGATCGTGTGGTGGACAAAGCGGCGCTGGGATTTGTTCCCTCCTGTTGCTTCTGCTCCCCCTGCCAACTTTCACTCCACGAATGCTTCACGAAACAAGACCAATTAACACAAAATTCAATTAAATGTGAAACTGCAAGTGGGCTTCACATTTATCTCAATACATATTATTTTATTGCTAGTGGAGTGGGACTAAGTCCCTTGTACTGCGCACACTTATGGCCTATTGTACCAGCCCCAGAAGATAGGTGAGGGTGATTGTGGAGCAATTGGTGGAATGAAGATTGGCAGGGGAAACCGAAGTACTCGGAGGAAACCTGTCCCAGCGCCACTTTGCCCACCACAAATCCCACTTGACCAGACCAGGGATCAAAACTGGGCCGCCGCGGTGGGAAGCCAGCGACTAACCGCTTGAGCTATGGCGCAGCCAACAGATACTTCGATAATTAAGTCCTCCTTTCGTGTGAATATCGGAACTACTTTGTTTCGTAAGAATTCCTTAGGCTTCACACCGAAATGTTTATCATAAATTTGACATAATTTTTCAGAGCACCATTAGTAAAGCTTCATTCTCTTTCTCCAGAAAAAATTACCAATATCTAAGAGGGAGAATCAGTAAATAGAACATAAATGGATATGAAACGCAAGAAATGTGGTATTCGAACTTGGAAAAACATATTTACTTCTCGGCATATCCTCCACCAACCCTGATACACTTGTCCCACCGCTTAGCATCTTCCGCGCTTCCGTTTCAACTTCTTCGTCATCAGCGAAACGTTTGCCGTCCAGATGTGAACCGCTTTATGCGACAAACACTTCTCACAGTAAAGAGAAAATAGTTCTTTATGAATATCCTTTGCATTGAGTCCTTTTGCCCACAGAAAACGCACAACAGAATGCTACCCTTCCGCAGTATAGTCCTCAAACACGGTCGCCATTTTGCCTACTGAAATCATTCTGTGAACATGTGCATGCATGTCTGCTACTTAGACAGTCATGAAGCTGGACTGTGCTGGACCCAATGCGTCCATTACAAATGTTTTACTTCAATTTGTAACCTTTTTATTAAATCTCCTTCTTACATTAATTTTTAGCCTTGCCAAAGACTAAAATTTTTCTGGCACAAAGTGACGCTGGGCCTACATAGGGTCTCAATCTGAGGGTCAGAAATGACAGGAGTTATGTAATTAAACTGAAAGAAATATAAGAAACACGATAATCAATCTGGTACATCGAAACTCAACCCACAGCATTCATCAAATCAAAACCTCACCCAAGTCTGTTCCAGTAAATACCAGTGATTGCACCAGTTAGGTTAAATTTATAATTCGAATTAATACAAAACATCATTCACATGGATCGCTCAAGACTCAATTCGGAAAATACCCCACACAATTAGGAACATCAAGTTAGGTCTATACCAGTGGTTCCCAAATTGGTATGTAGCGCCCCTTCGGAGGACGCGGGGCCATGAGAAAGTAATAACATTTAAACATCAAATTCAACTGGAGTACTACTCACTTCAATTGTTAACCCGGCTTATCACTAATATACTCGTATAAGAGGGATTCAATTTCAATACCTGCCGGCGTTACTCCTATCCAAATCGTGCAGCATTTTTGTGTCAATGATTCAAATTTCTAATTACATTTTTGTTATGGTATTAATTATGAATTCATTAATCGTTAATAATAACAAAAATGCTAGAGAAAAAGGTAAGAATATTTTAATAAAAAATTAATGGGTGTAAAAGTTTAGTGAAAACCAAAAAGGGGGACCATGTCACTATTTTGGGGAACCACTGGCTGCACGACATGATTCTCTTTTCCTTCAATACATTATTTAATTGTATGCCTACTGACAGAAAACCTTTAACGTCATGAAAGGATACCGTATCCCAGCAACTTGTCGGAGTTGCAGCCTTCAACTGTCCCACCTGTGTAAGTCACTGAAGCAAATGAATATAACCTTGCACCCAAATTAATCGCTCAGCAAGGACAAGCACATTTGTCTCAGATATCTGTATCCTAAGCAACAAATTATATGTCGAGCTAGCCAATTTCCACAGAGGTTGAACGTTACAGATAACCAAGTTAATTAGGTTTCCTGGTGCTCAAATTAACATACATACATATACGGTGTGAACACAGTCTGCTATACCGTGTCCTGCTCTGTCACCATAATCCAATTGTGAACACTATATTGTCCTCCTCTGCGTCAATTTTCGTTGGAATTTCAAAATCATGTTATGTTAGCTCGGTATTTACATCATAAAGCGAGTGCATATCATGTCAGCGGGTTAGAAATACGATACTGTAATTTACACAGGAGACTGGCTTAAAGGGGAGAAACACTGATATCAGGCAATGAGCCCTTTAAAACACAGAAATGAAAACAACTTCACGGAACATAACCAAGGAAGAGAAGAAAGTGGACAGGTTAGAAATGAACCTTCTAATGTTCGGCCAAACTGTCGTTAGGTAATGTAATAGGAAGATTAACGGCAAATGAGAACATTAACGCTGATTTTTTACAGCTGTTCCAAAGGGGCGGAAATATTCTCAACAGTAATGTCGCTATTTTCATTGTAAACAATTCGCCTATCTGATGTACATTTATGAATAAAAAGCACTGCAATACACTCATGGAATCGTAGCACTGCAGTAGGCCGTGGAGGTCCATAGGGTTGTGAGACGTCGAGGCTCCCAAATTATCTAGATACTCGGCTCACAGTTGGAGGTGAGACTGTGAGTCTTACGCGCAGGCAGCATCTTTACCCCCCAGGAAGATCCGTGGTACACATTTCTGTTACAGGCTGAGTAGACAACAGGGCCACAGTGCTGCTGGAAGCATTAAGACAATTGAAAAATCCAGTGACTTCATCGGCAATCTAACCCGAGACCTTCAGGCTTGTAGCATAGTGCCTCAGCCAACTACGTTACCGCGTGATATGTTTACATTTGCAGTAGTACCGCGAAATAAATTAAGAAAATTTATTTATGCCAAATAAAATTCAGTACGTTCCAGTCAAGTAAACTTTTGCTGGTCCTCGCCGGCAGAGTCGTTCTTGGTTTAGAGCACCATTAGGATCCATGACCGAATATTTTGTTCGTTTCAACATCATTCATGTGCTTGGAGATATGGTCTTGTCTTCCACGAGGGGAGGGCTTGGTCTTTCTGAGTATGCGACATATTTCTTGCACAATAATTTCGCACGAGTGTTCCCGCAACAATGCAGCGTCTAGGTAAGGACATTAGTACTTTACGAAGGGAGTCCACGCTTGGTTACTTTACTACACTGAATAATACTTACGTAAGATATACAAAAAATTTGCTAATGCAGGCTTCTGAAGTATGCCTTAAATTATTCTACTATTCCGAAACGGCAGTTAATTACGTGAACGGTTGTAGGCTTGACCGCCGTCAAGTTCAAGCCTCTTACACTTCCTGTGCATGGCCTCTCTTTGTCCTGTACCACGTACATAAGTTTTGGATGACTTCTGCCCACTTCCTGAATAATTTTTATGTACATATATTTGTACACATAGGGAATTTTGCATACAATCATGGAGGGTCGAGTCAGGGCCAGAGACAGAGTTACTTTACGACTGGCGGTATTTTCTTTATTGCTAGTGGGGTGGGACTAAGTCCCTTGTACTGCGGCCACTTCTGGCCTATTGTACCTGCCCCAGATAATAGGTGAAGGTGATTGTGGAGCAATTTGTGGAATGAAGATTGGCAGGGGAAACCGAAGTACTAGGATAAAACCTGCCCCAGCGCCACTTTGTCCACCATAAATCCTACTTAACCAGACCCGGGATCGAACACGGGCCGCCTCAATGGGAAGCCAGCGACTAACCGCTTGAGCTATGACGCGGCCGACCGGCAGTGTACAGCCAGTCAGTTCGTCTTGTCGAGAAGCCCCTTGAGACTCGCGACCAGCATTTTTATTTTCCATCTGAAGCCTTGCGGTTATAGTCCTTATGTAACACCCCCTCTCAAGAAGAGGATGAGTCTGCCATTTACAATTGCTGTTGGCCTCGCCAGCGCAGTCATTTCAGGCCCGAGTCCCGCGGGTCTAATGACCACATTTTACTGTCTCAAATTCGAGACTCCTCCAACCTGGAGGGTCACGTGCCTGTATTTATATCCTCCAGGAACAGGGCTGACCGGTTATACCCTCAGGCACTGAGTTACCTTTTCGTAGCATCCTACGACTCCCAGGGCTATGGAGGAGCTATTCGGCTCCGCCTCCAGGCGTGATACTGACTCGCCTCATGGAGAGTCGTTGAGGTTTTGCACACAAATATTTTCACGCGCTGAATCAAAGTGTTCAACAAATGGAGTCATCAATCCAAAATCTGTCTATAGTCACACTTATCACATGACAATACACATCTGAAATTCAAAAGAACTCTACCAATGAATTCAATTCTTTACATCATCATCCTAGGTCTCTTTGAGGTAGATGTGGGATCTGCACTTCTACGCCGGTAATTTGAAATGTATACCGAATTTACCACTACCTGTAGGCCCAATTGTTGTCCCACATTGTGGCCACACACCCAGCGAGTGTGGGCATAATGAATATTGTGAACTTACCTCAAACAGTTGTTCGTCATTTTCATCAAAGGGAAGGCTATTTAATTTGTTGATGATGTTAGCAACTCCTGGAAATACATATACGAATTTCATCAGTATACAGCATACAGGTAAGCTAAAGCGGAAAATAAATGTAATACATAATAAAATTAGAAGTTACAATTGTGAATACTGTCACGTGTACTAAGGGTGTGACTATTAGACGGGGACTTGATTGGATATTGGGTTTACTGACACACTCAACTCGTAACTACAAGTAATTAGAACACTATCGCTTATCTACACACTTTGCAAATATACAATTGGTTTTAAATATTAAAATAAAACACAAAAATATTTTTATGTGAAGGAAAATCGAAAAGTCTTTGCCCCTATTTTCTTTTTCAGCCACAAAAATACACATACAGAGAAATCAAAATACAGGCAGTGTTCTAAGTACTTTTGACTTTTTTCCTACAGTAAACACCCCAGTTCAGGCATTTGTCCCATCCCACCACTAGTTTGGAGATGCCGCTGTTGTAGAATTCAGACGGTTGAGCGCGGAACCACCGCCGGACAGCGGTTTTCGCGTCGTCGTCGGAAATGAACCTCTGGCCTGCCACGAACTTCTTCAGTGGGCCGAACACATGGTAATCACTGGGGGAGAGGTAACTGTCACCGGAGATGAAACATGGGTATTGCATTTCACTCCAGAATCCAAGCAGCATAGCATGGTGTGGAAACATCCCGGTTCTCCTGTCACGAATAAATTCTGCAGAACGCCATCCTTCGGGAAGTTGATGGTAACGGTCTTCTGGGATCGCCGACGATAACTCCTGCGGGATTTCATGCCACGAGGTGTCACCATCAACGCGGACAGCTACTGTGGCACACTCGCACGTCTGCGAACTGCCATCAGGAAAAAGCGCCCGGAGATTCTTCTCCTCCATGACAACGCCAGGCCTCATGTGGCAAACAGGACCGCCGCCCGACTGCAGTCATTAGGATGGGAGATTATGGAGCATGAGCCGTATAGTCCAGACCTCGCCTCCAGTGATTACCACGTGTTCGGTTCACTGAAGAAGTTCCTGGCAGGCCAGAGGTTGCTTTCCGACGACGACGTGAAAACCGCTGTCCGGCGGTGGTTCTGCGCTCAACCGGCCGAATTCCACAACAGCGACATCTCCAAACTAGTGGTACGATGGGACAAATGCCTGAACCGGGGTGGTGACTGTGTGGAAAAACAATCAAAGGTACTTAGAACACTACCTGTATTTTGATTTCCCTGTATATGTATTATTGTGGCTGAAGAAAAATAGGGGCAAAGACTTTTCGATTTGCCTTCATAGTTCAGTAGGGNCCCCCCCCCCCCTTTTTACTATTTTTGAGTCAGGAGAATTGAAAACATGGAACATACACGGATTTCTGTAGACTATTGAGTGAGGGAATACGGTATAAAATTAAATGCTCGCAGAACACGTTTCGAATGAGAGTAATGCAGAATTGTATAGATCTAGATTAGTTGAGTTTAACGAGTTTTCGGGCGCCATTTACTTATATTAGTGGGTTCTGCACGTTGCCTAGATATGAAATTATCCAGGAGCAATCTCTGACCTACTGCCATTGCATGCAGCCTACTTGTTCCGCGCATGACAGCAAAGAGAAAGTTGCTCGGATTCCCATATCTGTTACACACAGTGTTGCTCGTTAGGAGATAGGATAATGCATGCAGGCACGCACACATATGCAAGAGTCTCTTTTGTTAATAGCAGTAGGAGAGCTCACTGATGTATTTGTGGGTAGCCTATATGCTGTTTTTATTGTTCCTGTTTACTCAGTTCAATTAAATTTGATACTGTTTAAATTGAATTTACGAATCACCATACTTGGACCATTCTGTGAATGCCCCACATATTGTGGAATATATACTCAAGGCCAGAACTGTGAAGCCTTCGGAGACAGCAGTTGCTAAGGAAAGGATCTGCAAACACGCCCGTTGCTAGGCAACAGATTCGTACACGTAAAAATGCAGTAACCGCCAAGCGGTGTCCTCTATGCGGTCCGTGCCAAGGTGTTATAAGCAGGGCAAGTTTAGAATTTAGTTAGTTATGAGACGGCCGCCGGCCAGTAAGGACGCAAACACGAAAGATGAGGAAGCTACTGATTTGAAGCCGTTACCAGGCGACAACCGGTGAAGATACAGCAGACTGAGAAGACTCCGTAAGTGCTGTAGTGAACTGCAGAGAGAGAGAGAGTGCGCGTGTACGTGTGAATTAGCGACAGCGCTGTAGCTAGGCAACGAAAGCCGACACATATTTTTTGTATATCTCAGTTTATTTGTACAGTCAGTCCATTAAGGGCTATAAGTACATCTTATGAAATACTTAATCTAATGCTTAAATACTAAGAGAGAACATGTCGGGGAGAGTAATGCTCCAATGAGCGTTCTCTAGGGATCTATTTCGAGTATGACTTTGTTACTGTTGTACTGCAAGCCGACACAAAAAGTATGAAAGACAGAATGGGACTCTGTGACAANTGTAGTGCCAAGGGAAAAAATTAAGTGAAAAATCAATTCCACAGTTCCCCAGACGAGAAAATAAACATGCACAGTCAGCGCCTGTGTAAACATAAACAGGATTAAGTACCGCGGTAGCAACAAGAAGACAACAAACCAGGCCCAATCGACCTAATGACGCAACACACACAGCAAAACTACGCGACGCTATGAACAACTGAACGCATTCGCCTAGAAAACTGGGTAACACAGCGATGTCTTGATACATGTATCGTATGAAAATATATAAAAGAGGCCTCTTATAACCACCTTACCCACTTTAGAATTATATACAAACACGTTGGAATAAAAATGTTGTATACAACATAAAAATAATTGTATTAAATTTTATTTATTTTATTTTAATATCAACCTTAAAGTTAATACTAAGATATTTTAAATTAATCAATATAGCCCTATGCAGCAAAACAATTGTGGTATTGTCCGTACAGACTTTTAAGGAATCGATTATATATATACAGGGTGTCCCAGGAGGAATGGACCAAACTTCGGAAGGGTGTTCCTTATGTTAAAGTATG